AAGCAGTGTAATACCTTAAAGGCTTCGTTAATCCCTAAGAAATAGGTGAAGGCAGCCGCAATCCTTTGAATACAGAAAGGACCTTTCAAAATAAGTCAAGCAAATAAAACTACTGTCAAAACCCGATCTGTTGATATGACACATTTAGACGGCCCCAACTTTTTTTATTGCGAAATCTTAAATTCGTAAAAGTTTTATTTATGGCGTAGAATAATATTAAAGAGTTCGGATGCGTTTAGGGTAGGCTCGAACACGTTTTGTCAATCGAGTATATAAGATGCTTTGAACCCTTTTTGAAAAGCTTTTCAGATTATTGCTAAAGTGTAATCTCCCTATTCCTTGCTCCTTAAGCAGAAATATTACCTACCCTTTAAATACATTATTTATTTCCTGTTCGTTGGCACATTACAAAATATTATGTGAGGCGATACTCTTTATTTGAACGCTTAGGTGAACTAAAACAGAAAGTGTCTTATTTAAAAAATTAATTTTCACGTCAGCGGGTTGATTTCAATGGTTTGAATGGAATCTGTCATTTTTTTGTTCTTAGTTTTGTCCTGAATTGGGTCATCGTTCAACGTTTGAAAAGTAAATTTGTTTGCAAAAGCATGCAGAATTTAATTAGAAACTTTTTTATGAGAAGATGACACTTAGAGTTAATAATCACAATTTATTTCTTAAAAGCGATCTGTGACTTAAAAACCAAATGCAATGCAGGAATTCTGGCGAATATTCTTATGGATCTATTTTTTTTAATAACAAAAATTCCTGGTTTTTGTTTCTTACTTATAACATATTTCGTTGCATTTTGAAAAATCTTCAAAAATTCACAGTGATTCGGAGATTTCTCGTCAATTTATTACTTATGCAGAAGCTCTTCAGGAACCTTTCAGGTACTTTCTTTCGAATACTTTTTAGGTATTCTCTGGAATGCTTTCTTAAGTGATGTTTTGGGATTCGTCACAAAATTTTAGTTGTTTTTCAAAAGATATTTCGAATATTTCTCAGAGCTTCCCCAGAAGCCCTTTAGAGAGACCTTATATATGCCACATTCGAGAACCTCCAGTTCCTTATAAAATTATTGAGATAATTGTTAGGAGGTTTTGAAAAGTTTGGTATGCTTTGTAACGGTGTTTTTTGAAGAAATTTTAAAGATTTTGCAAACGCTCTGTCAAAAGAATACCTACAGATTATCGTAGTCACTTTTCGAGACAACAATTTATAGTATACATAGGGCTTTAAAAATTAGGTATCTTTTTGTAAAGGAAAATATAACAATCCGTTTATTATAAGGGCTGTAATTTTTGTGGTACTTCAAATATTTTTGCTTCTTTGTTTGATTTTGTTTACAGAACCCACAAGTCACCCCTTTAAATTCACATAAAAGTATAGCTCCTTTTCGTTTCAAAAACTACAGTTTCATTAAGAAAACTCACTTTTATGTAATAATCCGCTTCCCCTTTCCCGAAAACTATCCTGAAAGGGCTGAAGCATAAACACAACATGCCTCTTTCCTGTAGCACTACTACATAGAGGAAGTTATAATTGTTTAATTATTTCATTTACTTTGACCCGAATTGGGATATTATTTAACCGTGAGGAATTAGCAATGTAAAGGAATAATCGCGATTAGAATGCAATTTCATTTCACATATAGATAAAAAGGATCATAAAATCTGCTTTACGTATGTAAACAGGTTCAGGTAATTAAATGACTCACTATAATGAAATATCCGCAAGGAGAGTTTGTGTAAATACGTCTATTCAGTGCGAAATTCACAACTAACAAAAGTTTGTAAAAGAGTTTCGCACACCTTCTGAACGTTCCGTCGTAGTAGGACAGGTGGAATTTGATTACAATAGATACTAAGAGAGAGGGTATAAATACAAGTTCATTCGTGCTCGGAAAATAAGTGTTTCCACGGGGAGATTAGACGCGAAACCTGCGCTAGTTTGTTTCGCGCATCCAAACCGTGCGTTACCGAGCGAATCGTCTTCTTGGCGATACTTAACAAAGTACCATCTCCATTTCTCTCATCAGCATTTTGAGAACGAAGTATTCGAGAACTTCCATAACAAAGGATAGTGAGAGCATTTCGTTACCGGTCCGTGCAAAGTCCAGGTGGGAAGCCATTTTCATTCCTACATCGAATCAATGAAAAGCCACGCCTAAAGATTGTTATCGGTCCGTGTGTGTTCAATTACATCCAAATTCTGGGGCGGATCCAGCCGACTTCACATCGAAGCACCGAGAACTACTAGTGCATGAACCTGTGCCATAATCGCCCCGTTGTCGAATTATTTTGTTAACGCCAATTGCCTCCAAACTTTCGACTCATGCTGAGACATTCTTAACTTACTTACGTATTGCAAATCGTTTTATTATTGTTGTACATAGTGTTTGTAAAGGTAGAAGTAATTTTCTTTTAGCACCTGGAGGTGATTCATTTGACATTAAGTCCATTTACCTTACAGGATCGTTTCGCCTCCAACCCACCATTGACTAATGTGTTTTCTTACAGTAAAGACGATATCTGAACAAAAAAATAAGAGTTAACTTTGAATTAAGATATTTGACTTTTTATTTAATCCTTTACCCCTTATCCTTGAGGCCAAAAGAGGGTTATTGACCGACGAGCAGCCGAGGCATATTACTATAACTACATCATGAGAACCACCCCCAATTTTATCAACCAGAGGAAGGAGGAGGAAAGGAAAATTAGTAACATCCGTTAAAACTTAGGGGTATGGAATACCCTCAGACTCCGCGGTGCTACGTTCTGTGCTGTACCTCTCAGGAGAGAACGATGTGATGACCCTTCCCCCCCCCCCCCCAAATTCTAGAAGTATCGTGGTCTAAACATTGTGATAAAGGGTTACCTGGTGGTCTGGGGGGTATGGAATATCTCCCAGCACACACAACACTGCCTTTTCCCGTAGTACTACTGCAGAGAACGTAGTACGCGTACGTACCTAGGGGTACGACGATACCCCCCAGCAAAGAAAGGTTCCCGATGACGCTAAGTGCTCTCATAATGCTTTTCTATAAATGGCAATGGATCGGATGTGTACTAGGGGGTATAGAATACCCCAAGACCCCCCTCGCCGTGCTACGCTCTGTGCTGTACCTCTTATTAGGAGAAAATGATTTGAAAACCCTTTCCCAAAGAAGCTATTGTAAAAGTACCGAAGCCAAAACGTTTTGTATAAAATGAAGTGTTTCCTGGGGGTCTAGAGGGTATGGAACATCTCCCAGCACACACAGTAGTACTGCATAGAATGTAGTACGCGTACGTTCCTGGGGGTACGACGATAACCCCCAGCAAAAAAAAGTTCCCTATGAAGCTCACCCCTCTCATATGCCTTTTCTCTAAATGGCAGACCCCGTTGCTACATTCTGTGCTGTACCTCTTAGGAGAAAAGGATTTTATAACCCTTTCCTAAAAAAAACTATCGTAAAAGTGTCGAAGCCCAAACGTTTTATTGCGAGAAAGTGTTACCTGGAGGCCTGGGGGTATAGACCAGGGACCATAAGCATTCAAAGATTATTTTTTGAGGGTTTCAATGGAGAATAAGTTCATGTCTCCCTTGCTTAGCCCAGTAAATTTTCTTTGTTTTTTAAAAACGCTATTAGGATACCTACTTTATTATATATACTAGGTATACACTATACCGTGCATTTAAATGGCTAAAATTCTCCTGAAAAACGCCTAATTTTATGCAACCAAAATAACATGCGCGCTAATTTTTTATTGCCATTCTAGTTTTTTTTTAATAAAAACGACAGTATAGTATGCTTTTAGGTTATGATGCAGCTATTTCCCTTAAGGTTCTTATGGGATTCTCTTCCACAAAAATTAAAACATTCAGTTTCATATCCTGCGTTAAAATTTTCGGTGGTTTACGGTCTCTTATGATGATCGCATTTAAACAACCACTAATTAATCAACACAGAAAATAGATCTTTTACGAGAGCTCTTATGAGAGCCAGATCTTCCTTTTTTTTAAGAAGTTATTTTGGTTGCATAAAATTAGGCGTCCTTCAGAAGAGTTTTTGTCATTTAAAACTAGACATAGGGAAAACAATACACAAATCCCTATGTCTACTTCCAAATGAGTATCACTGTATAAATTAAGAATTGAGACTAACCCCTGTAGCATTTACTATAGCAACCCTGGTGTTTTTGCCCGATAGATGGACATGTCATAAGCACACAGTACAAATTAAGTAAAGTTACTTTTTGTACTTCATTTCAAAAATGAGTTATGAGGTTCGATCAACTCGTCCGGTTGCCAGTCAGATTGATTGAACAGTTAAATTTGAATCAGACAAACCATTCATAGCACTGTAATGGATTGAGGAAGAGAAAAATCTGTGCGAAAATGCTTCAAAAAATCTTTCAGAAGAACAAGATGCATCGATTGCAAATGAAACCCGTTTCTTGGAATTTGTCTTTACTGATGCAGACCAGAAATAAAGAAAAAGTGCATTTTTATAATTTTTATATCAAGGGATGTCATTTTGGGACATTGGAATCTATTCAAAAAACCATAACTGAACCAGCTGAATGTCATTTCAAAATCGGAGTTCCAGCATGAGTGGCGGAAACCTCTCCAACGCTGTGTGACTTCCCAGGGATACTATTTTCAAAGAGACAGTAATGAATAGCAATTATCTTTAAATAATAAATATTTAGAGCATCAGTGCCATTACTTTAGTTTACACACCTCGTATTTCGAAACGTTAGTTAAATTCAGCGTCGACCGCAACATTGACTATTCAGGAATTTCAATTTTTCTATAGACTAAAATTGCAGACAAGTTTCGTTCCTCTGGAAGACCAAAACCAGCCCTCGACTTTACAGACAACCCCTATAAGTCAACTATTAAAACCTCTCTCGTAATCTGTATAGTAAAACTCGCTTTGTTTATTGTTGCGCCATCTCTTCAATTTCCCTTAGATACGTTGCAGAGGCCTCTACTTTATCGACTAGGAAGTCAATACAATTCAAAAACACATGAGTAATTGAGGTTAGGTTCATAAGAAATAGCAAAAATGTCGAATTTAACAAAAATGATGCAAATATATCGCTTGGGGCGGATTGCCCTCCATCATGGGAAACGCACGATTTCAATAACCAACCACACAATTGCCCCTCGCACCTTAGGTACGATTCCTCTCTAAAACGACATCGACTTAACCGGTCTCTCAGTTGCAGCACAGCCTAGAAGATTACTCAGCACGGAGCCAGAACTAAAAGACGACTACCACTCAATTATCAAAGATACAGAAAAACCACTAGGCGAGTCTCCTTTACGAATTGCGACATTTAACTGTGGCTTTAACTTGTAGGTACCGGCACCAAGCACGAGTTTCAGGCTGAAACGCGAATGCTACTCGACATTGTTGCTCGTTCTTTGTACTCCGAAAAGGAAGTATTTTTACGCGAGTTGATATCAAACGCTAGCGACGCCTTGGAAAAATTCAGGTATATCATTTTATCGGGTGCCGAGCAAACCAATAACGTTTTGGAAGCGGATCGAAGTTTAGAAATTCACATCGGTACGGATAAACAGAATCGAATTTTAACTATTCAGGTAAGATGCCAGTGCCATTCACTTATCTAAGGCTCGAATTACAGGATACAGGAATTGGGATGACCGAGAGTGAGCTTACTTCCAATTTAGGGATAATTGCGCGATCCGGGTCAAAGGTGGGTTGCATTCTGTAAGTGTTTGTGGTAATTGTTGTCGATTGGCAGGCTTTCTTGGAGCAATTAAAATCAAAAAGTGCAACTGCGGACAATACCAGTAATATTATTGGGCAGTTTGGAGTTGGTTTTTACAGTGCCTTTATGGTTGCGGATAAGGTCGAGGTGTATTCCAGAGCGGCCACGGAGGAGAAGGGGTTTAAGTGGAGCTCGGATGGGTAAGTTGGGTTTAGTGTGTACAGGGTGAATAATAAATTTCGTGTTTTACTTTGTAATGCATTTGTTGAATTGTATGGTAAGTTGCATATTCTTTAGGATCAATAATAATATCAAGGTACCAGCGGCTGCATGTAACGCCACCTATAGGTTGATATTTTGCACTTTCTGCCAATTTTTCCCAGTTTTTATAGGAGTTTTCTAGGGTTTGTGAAACCTAAAAAATGTCCCAGACAGGATAAAATCAGGCAGATTTTACAAGAATTTGTTATTTTTAAGTTCAATTTTAATTATGAACTTAACCCATTAAAGTAGGGAGCACTTATGCCCACTAAACCCTCCATTTTGGTACTGGCAGCTGAGAAGGCGAGAGCGGGCTATGAACAGATGAGCAATTTGGAGTGTGCAGGAGGAGCCAGTGTGACTCAGTGGGGGACCATCAGGTGCAATTAATCGAATATGTACAGTGGGTTGCCTAATCTCTTGCTCTTCTAGCTGCCAGTTCCTGTACTCCATTACCCTGTTAATCTTTCCTTCTTTTGTAACATTCTGTCTGAATGTGAGTGAAGGGGTGTATCAAAATCTCAACAATTGATAAATACCTTGCAGTAGTGTAATAGTTGTTGATCCACCCACATAGATGCCATTCACTCAAAAAGTAACTAGTGCCAGAAGATAAACCAAGCTCATATACACTGTGGTCGAGGTAAGGAGGGCCCCTATGGGCGTTCTAGAAAGGGTAAGAGATACAAAATTCGGTTATTAACCAGGAGAAAAGTTGCGTAATCAAAGGTCTAAAACGATAGCATTTAGAACTCCCTGAAAATTTTTTGGTTTTTGAAATATTTTTGAAAAATCGGATCGTAACCATCATCAACTTCAATTTTTTTTAAATCTGACCCTCATATTCCTATTTCCGATGTGGTTTATGGTTTAGTGGCGGTTTAGCCTTTATTTCAGGCTTAATTAAGAAAATTCCTTGTATCTCATACCGTTTTTTGAAGGCCCATAGTTACCCTGTTTATCTTAGACACAGTATATACAGGAAGAACTAATTATTATTATTATTATTATTGAACTATTGTACCCCCTAGCCTTTTCTTCGCTCCTTTAAGATGTCTGTGTGCATCTTCCTTCCCCAAAAGAACTTGTGCTTGGAAGTATTACAGCTACACAATCTCACAGAATATTTTGCTTTCTCTCAGCACCCGCTACACAGAGGGTCTACTAGAGCAAAGGCAGTTAACAATAATAATATGACCTTATTACTTCTTTAAGAAGTACCTGACGGTTGCTTGTTGCCACTGAGCTTCGACTTGACTGATCACCCAATCTTTATCCTGGGCCCGGAAATGGAGGAAACAGGTCCTCAATTCAGGCCCGCAGAGTACCGGGTGACCCAATAAGACTGTTCCTCTGCCATATCTCAGGAACCGCTCGTCGTATGACAGGGGTAAAAAAAATTATTGGGTAAATCGGTCATGAAGAATCGCTGGAAAATATTTTCAAGTTCTAAAAATGATAACAGATGGCGTAACTGTCATCTTAAATTTTAAAACTGTTGTTTCTTTAAATTTCGCATAATAAACTAAAAAAAAATTTTCACATTTTTAAAGAGAACCAGTTTATTTATCATTTTCGTAAAAACAAAAATTCAGTTATTTCAAAAACAAAGATGGTGTGGGGGCGTTCAATTGTTTTTGCAATACTGCTTTAACTTCTTAACCGTTTGAGGATTTTAACAAAAAAAGGACCCTACACTTTTAGGTAGGCCTTGGAAAATTAAACAAATGAAATACGATGCATTATAAAATAATAACAGCCGTAATTTGTGAATTATTCTGCTGTGTTTACATTCAGAAAGTGCAGTTTTTTGAATTTGTAATCTTTTCTAAAATGCCGATTTTTAACCAAGAAGCATTTAATATGCTGGCGGCGATGGTTCGTTGTCGATGCGGATAACGCAAGTAGAAGATGCCGGCAGCGATGGTCGCGTTTCGAAAATACTCAAAATATATCGCCAGAATATTAAATGATTCTTGGTTAGAAATCGGCGTTTTAAAAAAGATTACAAATCCAAAAAATTGCATTTTTTGAATGTAAACACAGCAGAATGATTTACAAATTACGGCTCTTATTATTTTATAATGCATCGTGTTTAATTTTCCAAGGCCTACCTAAAAGTCTAGAGTGCTTTTCTTTCGCACCATCGACAAATACCGGAAATACGTAAAAAGCAAATTTAAGATACAAGTTAAGCATTTTTATTAATTAATTAATTAATATCATTTCCCCAATATTTGAGGTTAGGAACGAGATTTTAAAAAACGGTTTTCACTGTCCTCTTTGGATGTAATTTGACTACTTTTTCATAAAGAAAAAGTCATATCATTTGATTTTTTTAGGATTTTGAGTCATAGTGTCAAAACTAGCCCCCTGGTGGAGATGGATTCAACTAAATTAACTATATTTACATAATTATATTTGGTTGATTCTCATTGCCCAAGGAATGCTCTTTTCAACCATACCAAATTTGTTAAAATCGGTCAAACGGTTAAGCAGGTTATTGCAAAAACAATTGAACATCTTTGTTTTTGAAATACCTGAATTTTTGTTTTTACGAAAATGATGGATAAACTGGTTCTCTTTAAAAATGTGAAAACATTTTTTTTTAGTTTATTATGCGAAATTTAAAGAAAACGTAATTTTAAAATTCAAGATGCCAGTTACGCCCTCTGTTGGTCCTTTTTAGAACTTCTTCATGACCGATTTACCCAATAATTTTTTTACCCCTAAGACATATGACGAAGGGTTCTCGAGATATGGCCGAGGAACAGTCTTATTGGGTCACCCGGTACAACTGTCCTTACTGTTATGGCGACGCTTACTAATGCGGCCTCCTCTTCCACCTGCCGTGCTTTCCGACAGAGCAAAGGTGGTCCATCCAACCGCTCTTGACAGTTTCTCCACATAGCAGTGCCAGTCAGTTGATTGGGGATTCCAAAACCTACAGGGCCCGCAGTGGAATGCCAAATTTGGAATGTTGGAAAAGAATGTGCCTGTGGTCTGAACTACTCATCAGACACTCCAATTCGCGATCATGTGAGCTATTGAAAAAGAGGTCAACGTCAGATTAATAGCCTCCAATTTCCGCGCTGCGACGAAAGTAGGGGCTGATCCCTGATTTAAAACAGTCAAATCAGTTGTTCGCTTGATAAAACTTCTTATCGCAACGACCAGAGATGTGTCTTATTTCTAACACCTAATTTAAAGTGAATAAATTACAAACGCGATAAAATTCAAACAACAAATTCAAATGAAATATTTCATATACAGGGTGCCCCGTCCTTTTTACACGGATATTACCTCTGCATGACGTTGCTTACACATTTCCGCCATTTCTATGAATTTAGCATGAGAAATCAGGTCTACTACCAAAATCGCCAAACATTAAAAATTTAAAGTTAGTTTTGAAATTGGACCAAAATGTTCTTTGGACCTTCCTCTTGAACATATCAAAACCGCATATGTGGGGAGTGCGTAACACGCCGCCATTTTGAAACGGGAAACGCAGTTGCAGTGAAGTGGAGCTCGTCCAAATTGAAGCGAAGAACAGTGGGGACCGTGGAGAAGATCCACAAGAACATAATCGAACGTGCCACGTAAGCGATGTTGGGACAACCGCCCACTAAGATTAATATTTGAGAGATGAATTTACAATAAGTATAATTACTTAATTCATAATTATTATACAGGGTGTTTCACGCAAACCAGTACGTAAAAGGTATTCAAGATTTTTGACGTTTGATTGCTTTTGTTTTAAGACCTATGACTCTGATAACTTGGATTTCAAAAAAGTCTTTCAAAATCAACAATACTATGCTACAGGAGAATGATTTAAATTTTGTTCGCCCTTCTACAGGGTGTTAAAATTTTGTTACATTAAAAATTGTTGTTATTTAATAGCAAAACTCCATTGTTGCAGTTCTGGAGTATACGAAATTCAGCAATCAGATGGTGTACAACTCGGTACAAAAATTGTGATTCATCTCAAAACCGACTGTCGCGAATTTGCGGACGATGAACGAATTAGTACCATTATTAAAAAATACAGCAACTTTGTGGGTAGTCCCATTTACTTAAATGGCAAAAAGGTGAATACCGTACAACCGCTATGGCTCTTAGATCCGAAAAGTATTACAACACAACAGCACAACGAATTCTATCGGTATATCAGTAACAGCTACGATACGCCTCGGTTTACATTGCATTACAATACTGATGTTCCCTTGTCTATTCATGCCCTGCTTTACTTCCCTGAAGGAAAACCAGGTGAGTGCCTTTTTACAAGGAGCAAAGTTTCACGTACAATTTTAAGGACTGTTTGAGATGTCCCGCGAAACTGAAACCGGTGTTGCACTATACACTAGGAAAATATTGATAAAGAGTCGCACGGACAACATTCTACCCAAATGGCTGCGGTTCGTTAAGGGTGTAGTAGACTCGGATGACATTCCACTGAATTTAAGCAGGGAATTACTGCAAAACAGCGCCTTAATAAAGTAAGCCGTCGTACTCCCGCCCAGTGCTTATTCCCCATGTTTTAGAAAGCTCAGTAACGTTGTCACAAGTAAAGTGATTAAGTTCTTACAAGATAATGCAACAAAAAACACGGATGAGTATAACAAATTCTACGTGGATTACGGAATTTTTTTGAAAGAAGGAATTATTACCAACCACGACCAGAATGAGAAAGTAAGTTGTTGTGTTAGGGAATAACTTTGACAGCTTGATTTTAGGAACAGATTGCCAAGCTGTTACGATTCGAATCATCGCACAAAGATGTTGATACGAAGGTAGGACTCACAGATTATATTTCTAGGATAAAGGACGGGCAAAAGAATATTTTTTATCTTGCTGCACCAAGGTGGGAATTTGCTGTGTTTCTTTTGCTATAGTTTTACTTTACAGTCGCACTCTAGCTGAACAATCCCCGTATTACGAATCGCTGAAACGCAGAGATCAAGAAGTTTTGTTCTGCTATGAGCCCTACGATGAGCTAGTTCTGATGCAGTTGCAACAGTTTTCCGGGCATAGACTGGTATCTGTCGAAAAGGACATGAGGGACGATAAAGCTGCGAGCGATCTCACTAATTTAGGTAATTACCATTGGCTGTTTGGCAGTCACCTGCATTGTTCGTAGGCGATGACAGTTTGAAACGAAGCGAAATCAACGATTTAACAAAGTGGATGCAGGACGCGCTGAGCGGGAAAGCATTTAAAGTACACGCGACAACAAGGCTGGAAAGTCATCCGTGCGTCGTTACCGTTGAAGAAATGGCAGCCGCTCGTCATTTCATCAAAACCCAAAGCCATCAAATGTCAGAAGATCGGAGATATGCCTTGTTGCAACCTCAGTTGGAAATTAATCCATCGTAAGTCTTGCTGTAATCCTTGTTTGTATTACACCCAAGTTTTCAGGCATCCTGTAATAAAAAAGCTGTACAAATTAATGAGTAGCGATTCGGAATTAGCGACGCTTTTAACAAAACAGGTAATCTGATTTATTAACTTAGACAAAATTGTATCGCTCTGGTTTAGCTTTTCGCAAATTCGATGGTTGGAGCAGGGTTGGTGGATGATCCGAGAACTTTGCTGACTTCTATGAATGATTTACTTACTAGAGCGCTAGAGAAACATTAGTTAATTAATTTTTGTAATTTGTTTTTGTACATAAACTGTATTAAAGATGTCTTTGGATACGGATATTGGATTTTGGGATCAAAACAATCAATATTTTCATAATTTTAATGAATTATTTCCCAAATTTGTTTTTGCCGCCCCTAAAAATTTGCCGCTACGGCCCCATGCTTAATCCGGCCCTGAATATACCTACCTTAGATTACTACTAGATGTTCCCAAATAAGAAACCTGTCGTCAATATTTTGGAAATTGATATTTCCACCCTTTTCTCTGCTGCCTGAGGAGTTGCTATACAGGGTGTTTTTTAAGGAGCTGTAGTTAAACGTTTCTGGGAAAGTAAAATACGTAGGTTTTTGAAAATTTGTACTTAGGAGTTACTCTGAAGGCCGAATCTATGTAAAATATTTTCAAAATGTCCGCACTTCCGGAAACACCGGAAGTAGATAGTAATTCCGTTATTTTAAATGGCAACTCCTATTTTTTATTGCATTTTTGGATTCTACGTGAAATTTCAGTTCTTTTGATACCCATATGTCGATATCTGCAATTTATGGTTTTTAAGTTATTTTGACTTTAAGAAAAAAAATGGCGGATGCAGCTGGTAAAGGTTATAGTCATGGCAACCCATTTTTATCAGTGCATAGTGAATGAATAGGGCTTTCTTTTAGTGTACTTAAAAAAAAGTTAAGTTGCGTACAACAGCACCTATAGAGATCCAAATTTAAGAAACTTCAAAGTGTATAAACTCGGTTTTGACCCTTCCCTTTGATGGACCTCCTCGCCGCCTCACACCTTTCCTTTGATTGAATTTCTTTTGCATGTCTTAGACAGTCATCTGGTGGTTAAGAATGTAAGTTTTCGACCTCCCACCCCTTGTGTTTCCCCCGTACCACCCCCAAAACCCCTGAAATTTGGTTGGTTTCTTAGTTTTTCAATCATGTCTTTTTAATGGTTCACTTTAGAAAAAAATATTGTTATCAGAAATTGTAGACCATAAAATTCTACACAACTTTTATATACACTACTTTTTTGTGAAATGTTTATTAAAAAAGACATGGAGCTTGAGAGTTGGTTATATTTTTAAGAATGCTGAAATTTCTATGTAGATGTTATAACCAAATTTCATACTTTATCTCTATAATTAAGAGTTTTATGAGAAAATATCTTGAATTTACTGTGGTATAAATCCCTCTACTCTGCACCCTTACCAAAGGGGATGCTTAATAATGATTGAATCACTGTGAGATTGTAGCGCTTTCTAATATACTTTTGAAATTAAAAAATTGTCTCACTTCAGTTCAGTTTCACCCCCCCCCCCCCCACGCAGATATTTCAACGCTATTGTGGCGATTGTGAAGTTAGTCAAAGAGTACAACGCTTATTACAAGTTTTCTATTTCTCTTTAAATATCTATTCCTACCGCGGTTGGGGGGGGGGGGGGTGAAAGATGAAGCTGAACTGAAGTGAGATAATTTTTTTGTTTCAAACGTAAATTAGGAAGCCCTACAATCTCACAGTGATTCAAATATCCCCACTAGCAAGGTTTGAAAGTTCCAATCCATATGATTGAAAAACTAAAAAACCAACCAAATTTCTTTGGTTTTAAGGGTGGTACGGGGGAAGCACAATGGGTGGGAGGTCGAAAACTTGGATTCTTAACCACCAGATATTCTTTCATGACATCCAAAAAAAATTGGAACTACTTCTCGTTTTGGAGGAAATGGTCCATTTTCAGTTTCTATTTCCTGGACTATATCCCCGCCATGAACGCCGTTTGTGATGTCGAACTTAGGAACAAAAGAATTTCAATGACGGCATGTCTCTCGCCTACTTTCTTGACACCCCCAGAGGCGTAGAAATAATCGAAAGAGATGGGAATTTCCTTATACCAGTTTCGAGCATTCTGCCGGCTACTCCGAATTAGGTTTTTCTGCAGTTTTCCTAGTTCGTAAGGTAAATACCGGAGTAATAATAATAATAATAATGGTTTTTATTGGTTAAATAATGGTTCCTACACCATAACCAATGGGCACAAGGTCAGGTAAACCCGTTGATATGGTCACCTGTTCTTCCCCTTGAAACCCCCTTGTGTAAATACAAATAAATAAAGTTATTCTGCAATAGTTAAGTTATTTGTAAAGTAAACAATTATTGACAGGCAGCTTATCGTTTGGAAATGCAACGGAACATCGTAGTGGTTTCAATTACGTTCGCATTAACATTCGCTCTCTAATGATTCGATGTTTGATGATTCTTTTGAAGACTGCAGCAGGCAGATACAGTAATTTTGTATTTTTAGGGTTGGTGCAAAATTTACAGATGTTGAATAAGAAAGATCGTTTGAATAATGATAATTTAAACATAGGAACAGATAGAAGTCCCCTGTGCCTCAAATTTAAGTGGTGCACGTCTGTACGAAAGGTAATTTTGCGGTAGAGATACGGGGGAATTTTACTGTTTAATATTTTATGAAAAAATAAAGAAGAGTGAACTAGCCTTCTTTCCATCATATTGAGCCAGCCTAGCATTGGTAATTAAGGTATGTGAAATCCGTTCGAACTTCCTAATTCCAAATATGAAGCGCAAGCATGAATTCTGGACACGCTGGATTCTATCACAGTCTTTGAGTAATAAGCACGGTCCATATACCACGTCACAATAATTGAACCGTGATAGAACCAGTGCATCACAAAGAACAGCCTTCTGCTTGATGCCAAGAATGTGACGACTAGAATACAAGCATCTTAACTGATAATAAGCCGAAGCAATAAGGTTGTCAATGTGCTTAGTAAACCTTAATTTACAATCAATAGAAATGCCCAAATTTTTTACACAATCGGCTATTGGGACAGGTTGGTTACCAATTTGCAAGATTATTTTGCCTTCAATGTGCTTTTTAAATTTATCGCTACAAAACACGATGAAGCAAGATTTAGTTGCATTTATTTTCAAAGAGTGATTGTCCGATGCCTTGGCTACCCTTGCAAAATCTTCGTTGATCTTTGCCACAGAGGAATTCAATTCACTAAAAGGAAACGAATGATATAGCTGTACATCATCAGCATAGAGATGATACTTACAAAGGTTTAAACCAGTCAACAAGTTAAAGGTGTAAAGAGTGTATAACAAGGGTCCAAGGATAGATCCCTGAGGAACACCCCTTGTAACAGGCACAAGATCAGAATGCACGTGATTTAAAATCACTCTCTGGCATCTACCAACGAGATAGTTTTGTATAAGGGCCACAGCCCCATCGCCCAGTCCCACAAACCTCAGTATAGCCTTAAGCACCTCATGACTAAGCAAGTCAAACGCTTTTGAGTAGTCAAAAAGTACCAATATACTGATATGTTTCCACAATCAGTTTCCGTAATGATATCATCGAGTACGTTGTACACTGCAGTAGCACAACTATATCCCTTACGAAAACCTAATTGAAGTACGGGTAGTATGCTACGAGATAGTATAGAACAACTTAAGACCTTCTGTAGAGGCCCACTCTGTAATTGGGCGCAAGCCTGTTGGAGGACCCAGCACAAGGGTAATAATAATAAATAAATAATAAGGTGCGGCCGGCAGCAATTTTAAATATTGCACTCTGTAAATTCACAAAAATAATTTTAATTTACATATTTTTAGGGGGCGCCGTATTTCTAGAAAAGATATCATTCTGGGAGGTGCAAAGTAACTCCCTCTATCGGTAATTCCGTCCGAAATTGAATCGAAAATGATACGATTTCTGGAGATATCCCTAATGCAAGCTCAAAGGCACGCTCTATTATCAAGGAAAACGGAATTTGTGAAAATGGGAGAAGGGCGGGGGGGTTAAACACACGTTCTACCCTTCATGGTAATCTAATGAACGGTCTCTTCGAAATGAATTGGTTTTTACCAACTATCGTCCTTGTCTCTTACCCCTTATCATAATTGAGGGGAGGGGGACTGCCGTTATTCTTCATGGTACTCTAATGAAAGGTCTCGATGAAAGAAATTCATCTCTAACCAATCATACTCCTCGTCCTTCTCGACCCCTTATCGTGATCGGATATAATTCCTTACATCTGAACAGCGGATTTGTCCGAGGGGGGTACTCACAAAGTGCGATTGGGACGTCTGGAAGGGATGTCCGAATTTTAAAAGCAAATGCCTCGAAAACGGTTTGCCGAAGCAAAGGTAAAATGAATGCTCTGAAAGAGACATCATATCGACTCAACTACTGGATCATCTTATAGCCTTATTTACGAACGACGGTGTATATTTCTTTTTTGGGATTTTTCTTGCGTTGCTGTGGCGTTACTGACAAGACTAACTTCAAGTTATTTTGATTTGTGTTATTCGCGCCAAACAAATAGGTTATGTTAATGTTATTATTTGTATTTAGTTTATTGGAATTTTTTAATGAGATATAATGCCTCGAAGCGTAAGCCCAACTTTAAGTTCAAGCATAACGCGAAGAAGTCTTACACAAAGGAAGAGACAAGAAGATCGAAATTTAGCAACGTATTTTAAAGAAGTGCTTACGAAAGCTGGTGTATCTTTAAACGAAGGGGACACACCGAACCATATCACTCAAGAGCAGGCCCTAGTCGTAAGAGACATTTCCAAAACGTTACGGTCACATGTTTTCCACCCTAGTAATTTAGAAGAATTTTTTAAGGGCTTAAAGCTGATTTGCAAGAACGAGGAGAGCTTCCGAAAGTTGCTATTACCTACAGATCTCAAGAAAGACGATAGCTTACAGCCGACAGTACAACAGGATAGCGTTTTACGGATGTTACTAAATATTCCTTCGTTACAGGACGAAATTATCGATTTACTGTTGAGGCAGGTTACTGAAAGTGCTGTTGATGATAAAAACGACACCAGTTTGCTAAGACTTGTACTTACACCCCTCCGGTATTTATCAAATATTACCAACGCTAAAGCGCTCACTACAAAGCTTCTCGATATAACAGAGATAGGCACGTTCGAAGCCCAACTGGAAATTTTAAATTTGCTGCCCGACGTAATACCCGACGTCGAATATGAGGAAACCGCAAAACAGCTAAGTAAATTACTGGAACACAACCCCGACTTAACCGGCGCGGTGGTGGACTGTTTAAATTCCTTAAATTTAAGCGCGGATGTACGAAGTCACGTTCGCGAGGAAGTACTGGCACAATTACACACGAATTCGTCTTCGAAAATATTTCCAATATTGTTCGAGTTTGTTACGGCCGAATGCACTCAGAAGGAACTCCAGGATGTCTTGCCAAGTGTTAGAAATGCTTTGGACGGTATTTTGAGTTCCCCCTCGAGTAATAAGGACGCTGATACCAAGAAGGCGTTAATTTGCAATCGACTGCAGTCTCTGCTAACAGCACGGAAGAGTCTGTACGAAGGATGGGTGGCTTATATTTCTAACGTGCGGGCGGTTAACGATGTTAAGCCGGTGGATCTGTTCATGCTGTTTATGCTGCACTCGACGGGTAAGATGCGGAAAAGTACCATTGAGGCCTTGTTTAAGAAACGGGTTAAATTGGGGCTGTTTAAGGTGGCTCATTTTGAAGCGCTTTTTAAAGATTACTTTGTCACCCAAACTATGAAGGACTACTTAAGCTCGATTATGGAAGTTGGTGTTAGTATCCTACGTTTCTACACCGAGCCGGTCGTGATCGAGTGTGCTGAAACAATATTCAGGCTGGTATTCGGCCATAGCCTGATTAACAGGCTTCAACGGCAAGATGTTATTTACAATTTGACACTTGCAATTGGAATGAGTGACAAAAAAAGTATTCGGCCTATTCTGAAGATTTTAATTGGATTGTTGAGTGACGTAAAGAAGCTTCAGGAGCACACCGTGCAGCTAATGGGTTTATTGGAGAAGATGGATACGATTAATTTGAGCGATGTTAAGCTTATCTTCGAACTTTTGTGCAATTTAACGTGTGGGGAACACAGTGAGGAGGCCATGTCAGGTTTAAAGGACGAGATTCACATGATAATTCGAAAGCAGTTGTCAAGTTCAAAAAAGAGTGCCAAGCATCGAGGTATTATCGGGTCCATTATGATGATTAAAGCATTGGGTAAGGTGAAAACTTTTTAGTTAAGTAAATTCTGGAGTTTTTAAGCCGAACTGTAGAGAAATTCATAGTGGTTTGAATTTTTGCATAAACCTTGAAGAATATCAGGAACATTTACATTGTATGAAAAGGTATAGAGGGGCCACATACAGGTTTTTTTAATGATTAAATTTTTGTTTTGAGTTTTTTGTTATTTGTAACCAAAATTAGAGCTACTCAACCATATATATATATATATGTACTCAACCTGATCTATGTACTTAGTAGAGGGTGGTCCAAAAGTCTCATTCCTATATAGGTAGTGATATTCATGTAGAAGTAGACATAGGGATTTCCTATGTCTACTTTTACATGATAAAAAGTCTCCTGAAAGACGCCTAATTTTATGCAACCAAAGTAACTACCTGCAACAAATGAGAATCTGCCTGTCATTAATTAATTTGAATATTACGCTTCGACTTCCCTATTACTAATTTCGGTTCGTGTGCGATGTATTCAACTAAAGAAAAAGTCGAGGAAAAAGTTAATATTTCCAATTGGTATAGTGCCGATAACAATTTAAGGGACTTAAGAGATTTATTTTCTGTGACGCTAAAGCAACAATATTCAAATTAATAATTAATATGACAGCCAGATCTTTATTTGTTTCTAGAAGTTATTTTGGTTGCATAAAATTAGGCGTCTTTCAGGAGACTTTTAAAAGTAGACATAGGAAATTCCCTCACATTCCTATAGGAAATCTCTATGTCTTCTACATGAATATCATTGTATAAAACTTCATATCAGAATATTTATTTTTTTATTGTCCCTCTTGTTCTGGGCCCTCAACAGGCTTGTACCCAATTACAGAGGAACCTGCATAATGCTTTTTAGAAACCTGCCTGCAGAAGGTAGTTGTTCTATACAACTCCGTGAGCTACTCCGGTATTTACCTTACGAATTAGGAAAACTGCAGGAAAATCTAATTGTGAGTAGCCAGCAGAATGCTCGAAACTGATCTAAGAAAATGAAAAATTCTTACCTCAGCCCAATAATAAATAGCTCGATAAATAGTAAATAAGTGTGTTTGAATTTTCGTTAGTTCATATTTGTGATCTCACAAGTGGTTATGTTTATAAAGTAGTGTGCGCATAAAAAATGCCAGAATTGAGTCAAATCTCAGAAACGGCGGTTTAAAAAATTTGTTTGACTACTGGATTCTAAGTAAAAATATCTAAAACAAACCGTTTTTACCTTTTTTCTGTCTTACATGGATAGCAAGACATGATAACATCCCAGTCAAAAGTCAAACTTTTCGTTTTCACCCTGTATCTCAGGAACTAACTTAGCTACATTGATTCTGTTTGTGGTATTAAAAGTTTCACAAAAGAATAGCATAGGATCGCGAAAACTGCAAGTCTCTATCTCTAAAAACAGCTAAGATACACTGCAGTCTCAACCAAAATAGAGCACACTGTACAGTGTACAGGGCGAAGTACAGGGTGGCCAACTAAGAATGTGAAGTACTGTATCTGGGACTAATCGGAGAAAAACTCTCACCTCGCAAGGACGCCGATTTGGATATCGCGCCGCGTAAACTCGTTTTGCTAGTACGGCATTCTGAAGACATTCAGAATAAACTACAAGCATATCAGCAGCTTCATCGTTCGTACAACGTATTTTGTAACACAAAAATTGCTGAAAGTAACGCGAAACTATTGACTATTGGCAATTTGAGGATTATTTATGTTTTGATTAGGTACTTGTTTTGCTGTCCATGGCATGCTTCTATTAATTGTATTTTTTGCATATATGGAAATCATTCCATGACTACTTATGATTGAAACCAAATTCGTTCGTTTATTGTCTCGCATAGTCACCATCGAGGCCACCATCGACACGGCCATGGAATTATTGCCATAAGAAATACATTCTAAACTTCGAGGTAAAAATGTAAGGTTGATTCGCATTTAAAATAAGGAAGTTCATTGAATTTATCCCATCCAAGCTTGAAACTTTTTTTGATAGCTCTCTTTGTTACTAAAATATTTGAATTTGAATGGCGATTTTCACTTTTTTTGAATTATCTACGAAACGATTTATTTTTTCAAAATATCGCATCGGAATATCCGTTAGCATCAAAAACTACACAACTTTGCCAATTTAACCGAATCTGTAAGTATAATAATAACAAAGATAGTCATGTTATCCTACTCAAATTAAGACACCCTGTATAGTGAATATGCATTTAAACAAAAAATATGCTATTTGTTATTAGGTATCATTACTTTTAGTGATATTTTTAATATTTTCAAAAAGGGTGATTTTATTCTGATGAAAAAAAGGATTCTAGAAAAATTAGTTTAAAGAACTAAAAATTTAAGGATCTAAAATTTAATTTTTTGAGAAAAATTTCTGGCCTTCTAGCTGCCACATGTGAAACTAACAAAACTGCAAATATTATAATGTTTGTAGCAATATTTGTAGCCCAAAAATAACTCTCGTTTAACCCAATTTGTTAAACTCGGCTCAGCCGTTTCGAAGATACAGGGTGTTCTTTATGGAAACCTTTGAATACCCCCCTCCCCTCACTTTTATTTTTATAGATACAGCCCAAAATGTGAAGCAAAAAAGGTTCAGATTATCCTCGACTTTAAAGGCAAGACATTTATTTACTCGTTTTTTTGTTAGGTCAATACAGGCTGATTCAAATAAATTCGAGGGGCACCATGGGAATCTCGGAAACTGTAAGATATGGGTACTTACGTAGTTTAAATTTGGCAAAGTTGTTTATAAAGATGTTTACATTTTTGAAATCAGAAAAAAACGCTTTATCAAATGACACAAAAAATAAAAATGACTTCCATAAGAAAAAGCAAAGTTGAAGATAGTTAACGGCATTTCAAAATACGCAACTTTAAACTGCCTACCTATCTCTTACAGTTTCAGAGTTCCTCATTGTGGCCCTTGAATTTGAATCAGCCTGTATAGCGGAATACACAGAAACATCACTTTTTTAGATTCAAGATTGCACCCCCTAGCGGCCATTTCAGACATTGGAAACTATTTTCCAGGTTTTTCTCTTGGCCGTTTTAGTAATAACTTTCTTGTCTTAAGCCTCTGTGATGGATAGGTTCCCAGATGCAGTACTTCGCATTCTTAGTTGGTTACCCTGTACATGATAACTTACGAACTGTTTCGAATTTTCCAATTCTGTTTTCAGTGGAAAATGGTCAAGGAATTAACTAATTAAATTTTGGTCAATACTCCTCAACCGGAAGTGACCTTGTCGCTCGTTGTCTATAGATATTGGTTTAGTTTAATACTAACTCAAGTTTCTCTATTATTATCAATAGCTACGTATTATGAAATAAATTAAACAAATATAGCAAACAAGCTCCTGTTGACTTACTACTCGACTTACTATTTGTATTATACTATGTTCATATCTTTTGTTATTTGTTACTATTTTTGAAATGTTATTCTCTATCTCTTTCCAGTCTCTATTAGACCGGCAACACTTAAAACAGTCACAAAAAATGCAGTGTATGAAAATTCTTGACAGAAAAGCTTCCTATCTCAAACCAGATATTTAAAAAAAAAGTTTTTAACAGTTTTACATCCTTTATGCCCAATATACCCTGCCAAAAGTCACATTAATTTACTGCCTAAATTGTTCAAATTCTCACAGGAAAATTTTTGTTGACCTCTTACATAATTTAATGTAATTTGGATGTTGTGTTGTGTATGTTTTAAACGATTATTAATTACGTTACGGTCATGGTACATCATTGAAAATTGGTTCGTTTTGGATTCCTTCTATTGTTTTGTGCATCTTTTTCTTAACACAGAACTCAACAACGCATTTTCTCTTTGCGAACTTGCCGCACTGCGAACATTGTTCAACGATCTTTCAAAAAGTGCCCAAAGCCCCAAATCGCATTTGCATCCTTTTCGTGTGCTCTTTTTTTTAAACAAAAGATTATACAATTGTTTCCCTTAGAACACTGCATTTCTCGACAACGGCCGAAAAATAAGATCTTTCGAATACCCCTTAATAAAAATTGTAGGTTGCTATTTGAAAAAAAAAAGTTCGATGCCGTTGGGGCGCTCCAAAATTTTTTGCAAAAATCCGACCCGTAATTTTTCGTTTCCGTACGCCTAATATACATATCCAAAATTTTAACTGAATCCGTTGCATTTTTATTAGTTGACAGTTTTATTTATTTTATTTTGCCTTTATGTTTGAGGTGGCCGGGTTTCAGCCAAGGCTGCTCTACCAACCTAACCAACTATACATTTACAAATATCCATGCCCGAACCACAGCACAGCACCACAGTTCCGCTAGGCAACAGATAAACAACCCAAATTTAATCGGTAAAATGCAAACCTCTTGTGCAATTATAATTGAACATTGGAATCTTTGGTAAAAACTTAATTAGAGTTTGCAGATCAATGGAAGATAGCATATACACTTGGAAAATCCGATTTTCGTGTCTTTTTTTAGTAAGAGTGATATCAATGTAGATATTTCTGATATTCATAAGCACTGTAATAAAGTAGGATATACATACCAATTCAATAAAGTATTATTATCAATTATTTAATCTACGACGGTGTCACGTTACCCGCGTTTCATTATAGTATCGTTAATAACACTGTTAATAACTAAAATGCCACTACAATGTTTTCTCAGTTAAAACGTTAAATGACTGGACTATTCTGGGCAACACGACTGTAGCCATTTTTTTCCAGTTTTAACATCGCAAGACCAGTCAGCCATAGACGATGTGGATGACTCGATTTCGCTTGATGAACTACCATCTGGTGGTCCAAGAGAAGCAGCCTGTCTGTTGGAGCTTACAAACACGTGTACTTTGGGAAACCCGGACTCCGTAGGACTATTTTATGACGAACTAGCATTTCTAATAATTACCACACCCAACATTCAGCAAGTCTTTTTGGTTTGGCTGTATCAGCTATTTACAAACAGCTTCCAGAACAGTTTTGTCACTGAAACAGTACCTCAGCCGGTTAATGACTTGGTGCTATCAATGCAGTTTTCCTTAAACACCAGCGACGAGGTGGAAACTCAAATTGCAGTTAACATAGGAGAGATGACCTTAAAATTGCAACCGAGCGAAAACTGCTCCGTGATCATTTTGGCGTCGCTCTTCCGACTGTTACGACTTATCTACTATAAACAACATGAGGGTGATTTGGCGTCGATTGACGCCTTACTCGGTTGTTCAGTTATTATGCCCGATTTGGAGGACGTCGACGGTTATGATACTGAACAACTGAAGCAAGTTGCTGATTGCGTCTTCCATTGTATTAACTGGTTTCGTGAACTTATAAATGCGTTTGTGACCCAAAAAAGTAGACAACTACGCAACAAGGTTTTGGAAAGATTGTCTGGTAAGTCAAAACAGTGTTTCATTGAATACTAAATAAAAGTAGGCTAAGAGCATTGAATAAGTACCTTAAAGAAGTATAACGCCCGTGTTAACTGATGAAATAAGAAAATCTGCCCAGGATTCTGTCGTCCCTCTGTTGTGGGGGAAAGTGAACCACAAATTTAAAGCTAGTTACCGACTTTGCAGATTTCTTTACTTCTTTAAAATTCCAACCTTGCCAGATTTTTGGCAAGCGCTTTGAGTTTGAATAAACTAGATTAAAATATTGAATACCAGGGCCGTATCTAAAGGGGGGTTTTGGGGGTCAACCCCCCCCCCCCCCCGAAAATAAATTCTTATAACGTAAGTAAAATAAAATAAAATAAATAATATTAACAGAAATATTAAAATTGATACCGAGGAGGTGGTAAATCGTTTTGCGAGGGAAAAGCAAAGAAATATTCAATTGCTACTATGATTACTATTTGTAAAATTTTAAATTGTTTGTTTTTTCTTTATATTTTCATATAATACACATACACCTATTAAAAAATGACAGTTTTTTTTAAATCCCTAATTTATTATCAAAATCAAATTCCATGGTTTAACCCCCCCCAATTTTTGGCCAGATAGGGCCCTGTTGAATACGCTTTTATTCAATGCCAATAACAATATTATGTAAGGGAGGATCAATCTGAAATGTAAGATCATAAGGAACAATAAATAAAGAGAAAAATGTAAGTAGTTTAATCTAATAAGAAAACAACAGGAACTCTTTTAAGGCCCATTATCTTTACATAATAAACAATCAATCTACCTAGCTCCATTTAAGGATCTGGTAATTTTAGTCACATTAATGATCTCAGTAATTAATTTCAGATTTAATGTTAGAATGCGGACTTTCATTATAAGTAATTACTAATTAGGTTGGGTGGTACCATTGAATAAGCACCTTAAAGAAGTATTACCATTGAATAAGCACCTTATATTCAATGGTCCAGGCATTTTTTGAAAAAAAAAATAAGTTATAAGTTCAAACCGGGTTTTTCATGCAGGTGAAATGATTAGAAATTCGGGAAAAATAATTAAAACAGCTGAATTTTTCCGCGAATGGAATCCCGGGGGTTGAAAGGGGTGGAAAGTGGTGTTTTGCAATTTGTGGCAAAACTAATAATTTTAGGCTAAAATGTTCAATATAAAAGTTATAGAGAATAAAAAAATCAACGTCTTTTAACCACGTTATTAATTGTAAATTGCACAAAACTTTAAAGTGGATTTCGCAGGATCTTAAGACAAACGCGACGTATAAAATGAAGATCACTATCATCAATAATAAATAATTCAATTTCAATGTTATTATAAAACTAACTACATAGATAATAAAAAAAATTGATGCAAATTTCTAATTACATTCGCTTCAATAAAACGAACTAGGTACCGAAATACTCAGTGCAAAAACATAAAATAAAATAATAAAGCCACTTTTCGATATAACAAAGAAAAATATGACAACACTGTTCAACTCTGATAAACAAGGAAAACAAAGGGCCCCTAAGTATAATAGTCCAGGCTAAATAGCCCTAAAATGATTTATTTTCAAAAAAAATTAGTTACTGGGCGAAACCGGGTTTTTCAGGCAGGTGAAATTGATAGAAATTGGTAAAAAATAATTAAAACAGCTGAATTTTTCCGCGGGTGAAATTAGGGGGGTTGAAATGGGTGGAAAGTGGTATTTTGCAAATTGTGGCAAAACTATTGATTTTAGACGAAAATGTTAAATGTAAAAGTTATAGAGATTTAAAAAAATGAGCAACTTTTGTATCTACACTATTTTCACATAACCTCAAATTTTCCTAGAAAAACCGGAAAAACTGGTTTTTTCGTTTTTTATTCTTATTTTTGCGAAAAAATGTCGTAGGGGTTTGAAATTTGGAGGTAACATAACCTGTTTTATGACAAAACAGAAGATAATTGTTTGGGCCTATAAAGTTGAACATTTTCCAAGATCTCACGATTTCTGTATAAAAATCACCTCTTTTTCAAGGGGATGAAAAATCTATTTTTTTTCATCGTACAGAAGTGCGCGGGGTAGCAAAATTTTCGTAACGACTTACCTACATTTGGCCTACAGGCAGTGGAAAGGGATGGGAGCGAGAGAGGGCTTGTGCTCGGATCCGCATACCTCCCTTACGATCAACCTAGTCCACCACCAACAATAGAAGTCTGCAAACTGGTGGAACACTGCCAGCGTAAAGGCAGGCAGCTACTTCTCGGATGTGATGCCAATGCGCACCACACTGTGTGGGGCAGTACTGACGTCAACAGAAGAGGTGAGTCTCTCCTAGATTATATTATTAATAATAATTTAGAGGTAGCTAATGTAGGCAATGAGCCAACCTTCGTCAACAGTCGGCGGAGGCAGGTAATTGACATAACATTTGGAACTGTTGCTGCTTGCAGCTCAGTACACAAATGGCATGTGTCGGAAGAGCCATCGCTCTCCGACCATAGATATATTCGTTTTGACATTGAATCTAACGAAACGGCTGTATCCGTATATAGAAATCCGAGAAGAACCGACTGGGACCTCTATAGAGAGAACCTAAAGGTCAATCTCGAGAACTGTCCTGCAGGAGTCAGTAACTCGGCGGAATTGGAGGTCATGGAATCAAACCTTCGCATGGCCATCAAAGGTGCCTATGAGGCAAGCTGTCCCACAAAAGAAAGGAGAACCTCAAACAAAGTGCCCTGGTGGCATGAGGGACTCTCTCGATTGCGGGCACAGACAAGGAAGCTTTTTAACAAAGCAAAATACACGGGGGAATGGGGTTCATACAGAACCACACTCACCGAATACAATAAGGCCATAAGAAAGGCAAAACGTGACTCGTGGAGGAGGTACTGTGAGGAAATTGAACAAATTCCAGAAAGTGCCAGACTCCAAAGAGCTCTACAAAAAGGAACAGAGGGTAGAATCGGTTCCTTGAGCAAAATAGAGGGGGGCTATACTGAGACCGCAAAGGAGACCCTGGAGCTTTTGCTTCAATCACACTTTCCGGGATCAAAGACCCTCGTTAAAAATGACGTGTGTGAACCAAATGCTCTGGAACCACTTTGCAGAGGGAACAGAGGAGATTGGGCCCTGGCTCGTCAAATAGTGAACCTAACCAAAGTTAGGTGGGCAGTGAGGACGTTCCATCCGTACAAATCCCCAGGCATGGATGGAATTTTCCCTGCTCTACTACAACAAGGTCTCGACCTGATAGCCTCCACACTATGTATTTTACTAAGGGCAAGTATTGCCCTAGGATACATACCTATGGCGTGGAGGGACGTAAAAATCGTATTCATACCCAAACCTGGGCGAGACTCCTACGCCCAGGCTAAGTCGTTTAGACCCATCAGTCTAACGTCATTTCTCCTAAAGTTGTTAGAGAAACTTATTGACAGACACATAAGGGATGAGGTACTGGGGTCCGAACCCATTAGCAAACACCAATGTGCCTATCAACCAGGAAAATCCTGTGAACTGGCTATCCACAGAGTTGTGGACGCAGCTGAAAGAGCGATAGCTAGTAATGAGGTGGCTCTAGGGGCGTTTTTAGATATAGAGGGGGCGTTTGATAACACCACTCTAGAATCGCTCAACATGGCTATAGAAAGCAAGGGAGTACACACTACCATTAGTAGATGGATACATACCATGCTAAAACATAGGAACATTACAGCCTCACTTAACAACGACTCGGTAGTGGTCCGGGCCGCACGAGGATGCCCGCAGGGGGGAGTCCTTTCTCCTCTGCTGTGGTGTTTAGTGGTGGACGGACTTCTGAGGAGATTAAGTGAGGCAGGATATACTACAGTTGCATATGCCGATGACATAGTGATTGTGGTACGCGGAAGATTTGAGGAGACCGTGTCAGCAGTGATGCAGGGAGCTTTGACTCTGGTGGAAAAGTGGTGTAGAGAAGAGGGCTTGTCTGTTAATCCAACAAAAACAAACCTCATTCTCTTCTCACGTAGAAAAGGGCCGACAAAGCTAAAGGATATAGCAATGTACGGCACCAAGCTACAGTTAGTGAGAGAAGGGAAATACTTGGGCGTCACGTTAGACCAAGGGCTTACCTTCAAATCACATCTGGAGAAAATAGCGAACAAAGCCACAAAGTCCCTGTGGGCCTGTAGGCGAGCGTTCGGAAGCAAGTGGGGCCTATCGCCAAAGATGACCCACTGGATATACACTAAAATGATTAAACCAGTCATTACGTATGCGTCACTGGTGTGGTGGCATAAGACCTTCACCCAGAAGAACATACAGGCACTTACCAAGGTGCAGCGCAGAGCTTGCCTTGGAATTACGGGGGCAATGAGAACGACCCCTACTGCAGCTATGGAGACTCTCTTGAACTTACCGCCACTACACCTAGTAGTTAGGGCGGAGGCGCTCAGAGGGGCTTACCGGCTGAGAGTCAATGGCGAGGAGAGATCGTCAGGGGTGGGACACTCGCTCATCTTTGATGAAATCTCCAGACATAAAACCCTCGGTATGATATCCGAGAGAATAACCAAAACAGTTTGTCTCACAAAACTGTTTAAGACGGCAATCCCCACTCGATCCGACTGGGAGGACAATTCCAGTAAGATAAAACTGAAACTGAATGGAATCGTGTATTACACAGATGGCTCGAAAACTAAGGAGGGCACCGGCTGTGGAGTGTACGGAAGCAATGGACAGGGCTGCAGAATCTCTGTAAGCCTAGGACAAAAAGCAACCGTGCTTCAGGCTGAGATATATGCAATCTTGACTGCAGCTTCTCGACTATTAAAAGAGAACTTTAACAGAAAGAAAATCTTTATAGTTACAGACAGCAAAGCAGCGATTGCAGCATTAAACTCATATGTAGTAGATTCAGGACTAGTCCTTGAATGCACTGAAGTGCTAAACGCACTAGGCAGACTTAATACAGTAACGCTAGTGTGGGCACCTGGGCACGCGGGAATCGCAGGAAACCAGGTCGCTGACGAACTTGCGAGAGCGGCAAGCGCGATACCACTCGTAGGACCCGAACCGGCCTGTGGGATTACATATAACACAGCCAAAAAGGAGATACAAGCGAAACTCACAAAAGAGCATTGCAGACATTGGTCGGAAATTCCGGGACAGAGTCACTCCAAGATCTTTCTGGAAACCCCAAACGAGGGGCTAGCATCATCCATCTTAAAGTTAAGTAGGATGAAGATCAAACTTGCAACAGAGATGGCCACAGGCCATTGTTGTTTGAACAAGCACCTGCACAACATGGGACTGACTGACAGCCCTCTATGCAGGGGCTGTGGTGAGGAAAGTGAAACACCACACCACGTTATCTGCCTATGTGAAGCATACACAAAAGCAAGAGAACGCCTACTTGGAAACGAGAAGATTACACAAGAAGAGGTAGCGAAGATCCACCCTACCAAAATCCTGGACTTTATCAAAGATACAGGTATTCTTGAGGGGTAGAGAATACTGGGGAGCACAATAGACCAAAAGGTCGCGGTGCAGGAACCGAATGGGACCACCCCGAGAACAAATAATAATAATAATAATACCTACATTTTAATAATCAAAAATAAAAATTATTATTCCAATAGAAAAATTTCAAGAAAAGCGGCAAAAACGGGGGGAACAGTTTTAAGATACACCGTTTTTGACCGTAGATAAATAGGCTCTTTTGCAAATAAATTAACGTGTGGATCCGCGCTAATAAAAAGTTTTGGAAATCTGTCTTCTCTCTCCTCTTGAATGTTGCTAAAATATTTTCTTTTGTTTCCCAGTGCCCAACTGCCTTAATTAAAACATCTTTATTACTTTTTTCTGCGCATTTTTACTGCAATAAAAGCAATTCGAAGTAAAATCGAATTCTTTTGCTTCCTGAACAATATGTTTTTGTTCACTTTTTCTCTTCCTGCCTGTTTTACAGCTGATGGGATTAAGCTGGGCCTGTTGATCGTTAATTTACAGGAATTATGAATAAAATCCTCATAAAGTTTATTCCTGCAGGTTTGACATCTCAAATCATTTGCTTTTGGCCGGTAAAACCAACGTTCTTATTGCAGATTTTGCAAGTTTATCAACATGCCCAACGCAATTGCATCAGCTATAAAACAAGCAGGAAGAAGAGTCAGTGAACAAAAATAAATTGTTCAAGAATCATTCCTTCCGCAAGATACATAATTCGATTTTATTTCGAATTGCTTTTATTGCGGTAAAAATGCAGAAAAAAGAAATAATAAAGATGTTTTAACTAAAACAGTTGAGCATAAGATAACAAAAGAGAATATTTAGGCATTAAAGAGAAGGAAGAAGAAAGATTTCGAAAAAATCTTTATTAATATCCAACATGTTGATTTATCATGTCAAAAACCGTGTATATCTTAAAACTGTTTTTCCGGTTTTTGGCGATTTTCGCGAATTTTTGCTATAGGAATAATATATTTTTATTTTTGTTTATTAAAATATAAGTCTTCCCGAAAATTTTGCTACCCCGCGCGGCTCTGTACGATGAAAAAAAATAGATTTTTCATCCCCTTGAAAAAGAAGTGATTTTTTCAGAAATCGTGAGATTTTGGAAACGGTTCAACTTTATGGGCCCAAACAATTATCTTCTTTTTTATCATAAAACAGGCTATGTTACCTCCAAATTTCAAACCCCTGCGACATTTTTTCGCAAAAATAAGAATAAAAAACGAAAAAAATAGTTTTTCCGGTTTTTCTAGGAAAATTGGAGGTTATGTGAAAATAGTGCTGATACAAAAGTTGCTCATTTTTTTAATCTCTATAACTTTTACGTTTAACATTTTCGTCTAAAATCAATAGTTTTACCACAATTTGCAAAATACCACTTTCCACCTCTTTCAACCCCCGTGATTTCACCCGCGGAAAAATTCAGCTGTTTTAATTATTTTTTCCCAAATTCTATTCATTCCACCTGCCTGAAAAACCCGGTTTCGCCTGGTAACTAATTTTTTTCATACAAAAATATTATATAGCCTGGACTATAACTGGTTTCCCTGTTTAAAATAGTCATTATTTACCGCCCCAGGCCAAATATCCTTCAATATTTGTGATAATTAACCACTTTGCAGTGTATGCAACACACCTTACACCAATTTCAGGTTTTCCTATGTACCTAGTTATACTTCTTTAAAGTGCTTATTCAATGCTAAGAGCGTATTTCATTTATTTATTTCTCTATACCGAACGTCTAGTTATTTTGCTCTATGGTCTGCTGACTGGATGCAGTAAGGGGGACTTTTGGCATGATGACATTATGGCTATATTGTATCTTTTTATGGTACTTCACAGTTAGATGTTTTCCATACCAAGGCAAATGTGATTTCGAACCCTTTGAAAGCATTGAGAATCAACTCGAATTCTGCAGAGATCTTCAACTCGCCACTTTTTGGAAGGTTTGGCCGATTGCAGAAGTCCTCCTGTCGAATGTGTTATAAATGTTTTAGACAAGTACTAAAAGGAGCCCTAAAGGGATAGTAAAGGGTGGTTCAAATTCGCGATTCGCCATTGGGATCTCCGCAACGGTGTGGTATACTGTGTAGGTTAAATGGAGCTTAGTTGCCTCTTTTTCAGACTAAAATGAAATTTTTGAAAAATCTTTGAAAATAACTGAGATATTACTGAAAATACCAAATTTCGTTTTTCTGGTTTAAATGGTCATTGTCTATTAACGCATATTCTACTCTTGCAGGTGTGGTGAAGTTACAAGGGATTTTGGAGAAATGTTTGGCAAACATTCCCGACCATAAGTTGCCCTTGAGCTATTTTGACGCCCTTTCTCAAGGTAGTATGCAACGGTCCCCCACCCATGCAGTAAAAGTGTCAAGACCGAAGAAGAAACAGAAAGTCTCTGACACAACAAATCTCAACAACACTGTAGCTTCAACTTCTGCTGTATCACAACCCCCACCGAAAACTGGCGCTAAGAAAAAACCACCAATACCAAGAGAGTTTCGTTTCCGGGAAATGGACACAGATATTATCCTTCTACTGAGATACCCGATACAAATGGACGAAAACGTATTGCCTAATACGCCTGCGCAATCACAATCAAACACCTTGAACATAGAACAATTCATTTTCTTAATAAGCGACCTCGTACACAAACTAAGAGTGTTAATGAAACCTAGCGATTTAGGGTTGTCACATATCACCGCTATTAATTTAGAAGATTTAATCTCGGATTGCCTTAAGCTGTTTCCCTCGATCAATAACCACCTGCAAACAATTACTGGCGCTATAGAAAATTTGCTTAAATCCGCCGACAATTGTCGCAATGCCGAAGTTATGTCGACATCCCAAGCAAACACCCTAAAGAACGCTTTTGCATTAATCATGGAGTGTTACTCTCTAATATTCGGTTGGAGCGGGTTTCAGCATCAGAAAAACTTAAAATTGTTGAAAGACTGTCTGAAAAATGTAAGAGTCGAACGATCCTCTCAGTTAGCTTCAGTTAAATCGCTTTGTATGGCATTTACTGATAAATTAGTAGAACACGTGGACCATTGCTTAACGTTAACAGCTGCACTGAGCCTAGTTGAAGTTATGCAGGGTTTATACGAGGTTCGTTCCCACCCGGATTTGAAGAAACGAATTGCGGTGACCAGTGGAAAATTGCTGAGTAAACGATGGTATAATCAATCGGGGGGCACCGAAAGCGGCAAGGACGCATATTTGTGCGTAAATAAGCTACTAAAGGCGTACTTAGGAAATGCCACGTCAAAAACAATTTGTGGCGTTATAGGTACATTGCAAGAACAAGCGGACGAGTTAAAATCAAAAGAGGATTCTTTACCAATGCTGGCCAGTATCGACAAACTTAACTTCCACGTTTTCTTCAGATGTTTGTGTACAACACTCGTGGAAATTATTCGCACCGAAATATCCTCTCTGACTAATGAGCAACACTTAGTGTTATGGCGGATGGTCGCTTTAAGTATGCAAGGGTTGATGTCAGTCGTTAAGAAGCAGGAAACAAAAACGAATTTGGTCAGCTATTTGAAAAACGGCATTGCTGTGCTTAAGGTAAGTCTTATTTTACGCCGACCAAGAGTTTAATTACAATTTATTTTCCCTTTAGATTTTCCTGGCAAGCGGAATTCCAATTCTTGAGATTGTCCTGCCGAAAAAAACAACAGAGGTCATCGAAGTGTTCAAACTTATGCAGGCGAGCACCAGATTCCTTCACCAGCTTTGCTGTTACTCAAAGTTTACAAAAGACGTAAGCTTGGTGGCGTACGTTCCCCAATTTCGTCAAGTGCTTGAGTCTCTGATTTATCGAGTTAAAGCCGCGCTGGCCGGCAACGGTTGTAGTGACGCGTTTTGGATGGGAACTTTGAAAAATAAAAATTGGCACGGCGAGGAAATTCTTTCGCAGAGTACTATACGGTCGAATGATTCCGGGGATGAAGAGGAATTGCCGCCTGATGATGAGGAGGAAGAGATTGAAATTGAGTCTAATGTTGTTGCAAGTGATAATGAATCAACGGCTAGTGAGATTATTTAATATGAAATTGTATTGTATTTTTTATACTGTAGCCTTAATAAATGTTAATAAATAACGTAGTCTTTTTCTTTCATTTCATGCAACGGGGAAATTTTAGAGGCATCAAATGGAATTGATCAATTGATTTTTAAACGATAAATCTCATACAGACTGGTTTATGATTTCATCTCTTAACACCTTGCCCATAAGTTATAGACTAGAAACCAATTTCGAAAGAAAATTCAAAGGGCTGTAACTTTTAAACTAGTAGCCCAATCTTGGAACTGTTTCAAATTATGGATTCTACAGTCCACATTCTACAAGAAAATTTTTTTTCCGGTTCGATCTGAGCCAATTTTTTTTGCCGGCCTCAAAAAAAGGCAGTGTATAAACCTTCCTTTTTCACCAAAAATCGATTACACCAAAATTTCTCGAAAAAACACTTTTTCTTATTAATTTTGGTGCGTAGAATCCAAAACAATTCGTACTTTTTCGATCAGACTTCTCAATCCAAAGTTATAGACTAGAAACCAATTTCGAAAGAAAATTCAAAGGGCTGTAACTTTTGAACTAGTAGCCCAATCTTGGAACTGTTTCAAATTATGAATTCTACAGGCCACATTCTAACGGGTGATCAAATACGAAGTACTTTTTCCAATAGGGATTTATAAACACTTTAATCAAGATAGTTGTCATGTGCATATGCGTTTTTTGTTCATTATTAGTTGACATTTCACCATGAATAGACTTACATCAGAACAACGATTACAAATCGTGGAAATTTATTTCCAAATCAGTGTTCAGTGAGAAATGTTTTTCGTGCTCTTCAACCATTTTATGATGCTCATAATCGTCCAACTGAACGCGCAATGAAAAAATTGTTGCCAAAAATTCAAGATATTGATGTAGATTGTAGCCGACTTATGGTTTCAACAAGAAGGTGCGACGTGCCATACAGCACACGAAACCATCGATTTATTGAAAGAAACTTTTGATGAGAACATAATATCAAGAAATGGAGCAATGAATTGGCCACCAAGATCATGTAATCAGACGCCGTTAGATTACTTTTTATGGGATTATCTCAAATCACTGGTCTATGCCGATTATCCACAAACTAACACGTGTAATAAATGAAATTTCGAACGAAATGCTCAAAAGAGCGCTTGAAAACTGAACGCATAGAATGGACCATCTACCGAGTCAGTCACGGTCAACATTTAAAACAAATTATTTTTAAACATTAAATGTCATGAACAGAACTTACGTATTAAATTCAATTGTTGATTATTAAATTGAGTTTTATGCGTTTTATTTCAAAAAAACTTTCGGAAGCTCTTATTTGATCACCCTTTATAAGAAAAATTTTTTTCCGGGTCAATCTGAGCCAATTTTTTTTGCGGGTCTCAAAAAAAGGCAGTGTATAACCTTCCTTTTTTACCAAAAATCGACTGCACCAAAATTTCTCGGGAAAACACTTTTTTTTATTAATTTTGGTGCGTAGAATCCAAAACAATTCGAACTTTTTCGATCAGACTTCTCAATCAAAAGTTATGGACTAGAAACCAGTTTCGAAAGAAAATTCAAAGGGCTGTAACTTTTGAACTAGTAGCCCAATCTTGGAACTGTTTGAAATTATGGATTCTACAGGCCCCATTCTATAAGAAATTTTTTTTCCGGGTCGATCTGAGACAATTTTTTCTTCGGGGCTCAAAAAAAGGCAGTGTATAACCTTCCTTTTTCACCAAAAATCGACTACACCAAAATTTCTCGGGAAAACACTTTTTTTTATTAATTTGGGTGCGTAGAATCCAAATCAATTCGTACTTTTTCGATCAGACTTCTCAATCAAAAGTTATAGACTAGAAACCAATTTCGAAAAAAATTTCAAAGGGCTGTAACTTTTGAACTAGTAGCCCAATCTTGGAACTGTTTGAAATTATGGATTCTACAGGCCACATTCTATAAGAAAATTTTTTTCCCGGGTCGATCTGAGCCAATTTTTTTTTCGGGCCTCAAAAAAAGGCAGTGTATAACCTTCCTTTTTTACCAAAAATCGACTACACCAAAATTTCTCGGGAAAACACTTTTTCTTATTATTTTTGGTGCGTAGAATCCAAAACAATTCGTACTTTTTCGATCAGACTTCTCAATCAAAAGTTATAGACTAGAAAACAATTTCGAAAGAAAATTCAAAGGGCTGTAACTTTTGAACTAGTAGCCCAATCTTGGAACTGTTTGAAATTATGGATTCTACAGGCCACATTCTATAAGAAAATTTTTTTTCCGGGGTCGATCTGAGACAATTTTTTTTTGCCGGCCTCAAAAAAAGGCAGTGTATAACCTTCCTTTTTTACCAAAAATCAACTACACCAAAATTTCTCGGGAAAACACTTTTTCTTATTAATTTTGGTGCGTAGAATCCAAAACAATTCGTACTTTTTCGATCAGACTTCTCAATCAAAAGTTATAGACTAGAAACCAATTTCGAAAGAAAATTCAAAGGGCTGTAACTTTTAAACTAGTAGCCCAATCTTGGAACTGTTTCAAATTATGGATTCTACGGGCCACATTCTATAAGAAATTTTTTTTTCCGGGTCGATCTGAGACAATTTTTTTTGCCGGGCCTCAAAAAAAGGCAGTGTATAACCTTCCTTTTTTACCAAAAATTGACTACACTAAAATTTCTCGGGAAAACACTTTTTCTTATTAATTTTAGTGCGTAGAATCCAAAACAATTCGTACTTTTTCGATCAGACTTCACAATCAAAGGTTATAGACTAGAAACCAATTTCAAAAATAGGGGCTGTAACTTTTGATATAGTAGCCCAATCTTGGAACTGTTTGAAATTATGGACTCTCGATCGATTTCGATCTCTCGATCAATTTTTTTTCCGGCCTTGTCAAAATTGGATCTGTTCTAAATTCGCTAGGATTAATTTCAGAAAGGCGGACGTATCATGTGCACGACGTACGATCGCTTTGAAAACTGGTACACGCATTCCTGGTATAAGAAAGGTTCTGGTAGGTACCTCCTATATAATAATATAATAATAATAATACGATTTTACTCCCCTTAAATTTGTATATAACAATAGAAATATAAAAGAAGCTAACCCCATACTTAATCTTGAACTTAATCTTGAAACCCTTACATCCTCTATTCTGGATGCAGCGGAAGCAAGCATTCCAAAGTCAAAAGGTCGAAAACGGACTAAATTGGTACCTTGGTGGTCTTCGGAGGTTGAAGAGAAAATATCAGTAAAGAAACGAACCTTAAACAGATTTCGGTGTCATCCCACCGTGGAGAACCTTATTGAATATAAAATACGAAGGGCGGAGTGTCGTCGAACAATTCTGGATGCACAAAGAAGATCATGGCAACAATACGTGTCCACCATTACACCGGATGCTACATCTAATGAAATATGGAGAAAGGTTGGAGCTATATCTGGCAAAACGGGATGTAATTATCCGGCGTTTATCCGTAAATCAGATGGGGTAGTGACGGACAACCTGCAGGAGATATCTAATATCCTTGCGCACCAATTCTTCCAAGTTAGCAGTTCCTTAAACTACTCAGAAACCTTTCTATCAACCAAAGCCGATAAGGAATCAACTGTTATTGACTTTGATACGCAAGAACGATTAGATTATAACTTACCGTTTACGCTTGAAGAATTGGAGACTGCGATCCGGTCCACGAAAAACTGTTCGCCTGGTTGTGACAGCATCCATAACCAAATGATTCGCCACTGCAACCTGGAAATGAAACAGAAGATTTTAATATTTTTTAATAAATGCTGGGAAAATTGTACTTACCCCTCAGAATGGAAAAAGGCTGTTATTGTTCCTATACCCAAACCAGGGAAAGATCCATTGTTGCCAAAATACTATCGTCCGATTAGCTTAACATCATGTTTGGGTAAACTATTAGAGAAACTGGTGAACCGGCGACTGCAGTCATTTTTGGAATCCAACGATACATTGGTATCATACCAAACGGGTTTTATACAAGGCAGATCAACAATAGATCATTTGGTTAAATTGAGCGACAACATCTTAAGGGCATTTGACAATAGAGAACACCTTGTGGCGGTCTTCTTCGACATCAAAGGGGCGTATGACATGACATGGAGGTATGGAATCCTAAAAAACATGTCAAAGTATAATCTACGGGGTAACTTACCTAAATTTGTCCGTTCCTTTTTGCAAGATAGGCGATTTGTCGTCAGAGTCGAAAACACATACTCACAGGAATACATCTTAGAGAATGGAGTGCCACAGGGGTCTACTCTGAGCTGCTCTCTCTTTGCAATTGCAATAAATCAAATAGCCTTAAGAGTTGCGGAGGAAGTTGACAAATGTTTGTACGTCGACGACCTCATGATTTGCCTTGCCGGAAAAACTGTTGGCACTGTTGTGCGAAAATTGCAAGATTCTATCAATCAAATTGCAACAAATGCAGACGCAGTGGGCTATGTCCTTTCCGAGGAGAAAACTAAAGCGATGCATTTTTGTAGGCTCCGTAAACCCCATTATGACCCTGTTCTGTTTTTGAAAGATCATATTATTAGTGTACCCAATGACATTAAATTTTTGGGGCTTACTTTTGACAGGGAGTTAAGATGGACTAAGCATTTGGAGAATCTTTTAACAGCAAGCAGGAAATCACTAAATGTGCTAAGGGTCCTCGCACATCTCAAATGGGGGGCTCATCCTAAATCTCTTCTTGCCATCTATAAGGCATTGATCCTGTCACGCATTGACTATGGGTGCTATAGCTATTCTACAGGCAGTTTCACGTTGCTGAGTAAGTTGGATAAAATTCAAAATCTAGCAGTTAGATACTCCCTCGGGGCATTTCCAACTAGCCATCAGCGCTCTCAACGTGGAAGCAAACATTCTACCGCTTGCTCTTCGTCGAAAGCAATTGATAATAAACTATTACCGGAAAGTATGTCTGAATGATGAACACCCCAATTATAATTTACTTACTGGTAGAACCAGACCTACACGGTTATATGGATCGCTAGGCGAAAGAGCAAGACAGTGCATAGAGGAGATGCAGTTACAAAAT